ACCACAGGAAGATCCTTCCTTCCATAACCCGGCGCTCTGACTTTCGTTCCCAGGGCTCCTTTCATCCTTCCTCCTTTCGGGGCTCCGACTCCAACTTCTCTCAGCACCGCTCTCCTCGCTCCCTTCCTTCCAGAACTTCCCAGCACTTCGGACACCAGGTCAGACAGGGATCCCGCTTTCCGCCTAAATCCTCTTTTCGGGGGGGAGGGGTCGCTCCTTCAGACGTTCCCGCTAACAAGCTGTCTGATTCTATGATTGGGGGTCGTTTGTCCAAATTTTGTGACCAGTGGGATTCATCTGTATCTGATATTTGGGTGAAGGATACAGTACGATTTGGCCTTAGACTTGAATTTCAATCCTGCCCTCCTAACCATTACCTCCCCTACCCAGTCTCTCTTGATCCTATAAAGAGGACCAGAGTCAACCAGGCTATTCAACATCTCCTAGCCATCAGGGCAATTCAGCCTGTTCCCTATCCAGAACAGGGCAGGGGTTTCTATTCCCGATTATCCTGGTCCCCAAGTCCTCGGGTGGTTGGAGGGCTATCCTTGATTTGAAATCTCTTAATCGGCATGTCAAATATCGCCGTTTTAAAATGCAGTCACTCCAAACCATTCTGCTCTGCATTAGGCCAGGGGACCTTATGTCCTCCATTGACCTAACGGAAGCCTATCTCCACATCCCGATTTACCCTCCCCACCGTAAATTTCTTAGGTTTTCCTACAATGGCCAACATTTCCAGTATGCGGCTCTGCCCTTTGGCCTTTCCTCTGCCCCTAGGGTATTTACTAAGGTCATGGCAGCCCTTATCGCCCACATTAGTTCTATTCCTATTCGGACACTCTTTTATTTAGACGATATTCTTATCCTTTCCCATTCCCTAGACCGGGCCCAGGTTGATCTGGACCGGGTGGTGTCCGTTTTGTGACTGCATGGCTTCTCCATTAACTGGGACAAAAGCCATCTGTCTCCTACTACATGTCTCCAGCACCTGGGGGCTATCATTAATTCTTCTACCCTTCAAGTTTTCCTATCACAGGAGCGCCAGTCGAGTCTTTCTGACCTAGCCTCTAAGATACACAGGCGGGGCTCCACCTCTCTATTAGATCTCTCTAGCCTCTTAGGCAAAATGGTCTCCGCTTACGGCATCGTGCCCTGGTCTCGCCTCCACAGCAGGGAGCTGCAGTGGCTGCTGCTCCCTTACCAACGGCGTCGGACCAGCACTTCGGCATCCAAGATTGTCCTGCCTCCGGCGGTTCGAGACTCTCTGACCTGGTGGACATCATCAGCCGTATCCCAGGGCTCTTCGTTCGGGGATCAGTGTTGGACAACTCTCATCACAGATGCCATCCTCTCGGGCTGGGGGGCACACCTGGACTCACATTTGGCTCAGGGTCTCTGGTCCGACACGGAACGGACCCAGAGCATCAACGTCCTGGAATTGAGGGCCATTTATCTGGCCCTCCTCAGTTTCAAGCCTCTTGTTCTTGGCCAGGACGTCCTCGTTCTCACGGACAATGTCTCGGCCAAGGCCCATGTCAACCGTCAGGGCGGGACTCGCTCCAAGTCCCTGATGCGAGAGGCTCTCCAATTGGGTCTTTGGGCGGAGACCCATCTGTCATCTCTACGGGCTGAGCACATATCGGGATCGGCGAACTCCACAGCAGACTCCCTCAGCCGCTCCCTCATCGATCCAGCCGAGTGGAGTCTTCATCCTCTCCTGTTCGAGGAACTGTGTTCTCGGTACGGTCGTCCCTCTGTGGACCTGTTCGCAACATCCAGCAACCGTCAGTTACCCCGCTTCTTTGCCTGATTCCCTTCTCCGGGAGCGGAAGCGATGGATGCCCTCCTGAGTCCCTGGCCTCACGAACCTCTTCTCTATGCCTTTCCCCCTCTCCCCATTATCTCCAGGGTTCTTCGGAAAATGGTGGCGGAGCGGGCCGAGCTCCTCCTACTGGCTTCACACTGGCCTCGGCATCCTTGGTTTGCCGACCTCTTGGCCCTGTCGGTTGCTCCCCACTGGAGGATCCCGGACGACAGGATCTCCCTTCATCAAGGTCCTCTCCTCCACCCAGATCCTCAGGCCTTCCAACTGACCGCATGGCGGCTGAGTGGCTCCTCTTAACCAGGGCTCATGTTCCTCCGGATGCGATCCCCATCATCCAGGCAGCTCGCCGTCCTTCTACGCTCCGAATTTATGGATCCACTTGGCGGGTGTTCTCCTCCTGGTGTCGTGGGAAGGGCATTTCGCCTACCGACGCTTCGGTTCCTCATTTGCTGGGCTTCCTCCAACAAGGATTTTCTGCTGGTCTCGCTCCTAATACGCTCAGGCGGCAGATTGCCGCTTTGTCATCGATTTTTTCCTGCTCATCAACCACGTCCATTACCAATGATCTGCTCATCAAATCCTTTTTGAGGGGCGCGACCAATCTCCGCCCTCCTATGGATCACCGTTTTCCATCGTGGGACCTAAACAAGGTCTTATCTGCCCTGACCGGTCCACCGTTCGAACCCTTGCGGGAAGTTGGTCTCAAGTTTCTCTCGTTCAAGGTGGCGTTCCTTGTTGCTGTGACTTCTGCGCGACGTATTTCAGAGCTTGCGGCCTTGTCCGTGCGCTCTGACCTCTGCATATTTCATACAGACAGGGTGGTTCTTCGTCTGGACCCGGCGTTCGTCCCGAAGATTAACACCATCTTCCACAGGTCACAGGAGCTCACGCTTCCAAACTTCTGCCCTTCTCCCTGTCATCGCCAGGAGTTCCTCTGGCACAAGCTAGACGTCCGCCGGGCCCTCAAGATTTATGTTGCCCGCACTGCATCCTTTCGACGGTCAGAAGCTCTTTTTCTTTCCTTCCAGCCTTCGACTATGGGTTCCCGTGTCTCCTCAGTTACTATAGGGCGGTGGCTCAGAGCTACCATTGCACTGGCCTATGAATCGCAATCCCTGCAGGTGCCATCCAACATCACGGCGCATTCAACCAGGAGCGCCTCCACCTCTGCTGCCTGGTCCACTCAAGCACCACTGGAGGAGATCTGCCGGGCCGCTACGTGGTCGTCTGTGTCTCCTTTCATCCGGCACTACCGTCTGGACGTCTATGCGTCGGCGGACGCGGCCTTTGGCAGGAGAGTTCTACAGCAGGTCCGGCCTCTCCCTCCCTAGGAGACATCAGGCTTTGGTATGTCCCAGGCATGACTGCCGTGGGCACCCTGTAGGAGAATGGGCGTTGGTCTTACCTGATACGCCTCTTCTCTGACTGGCGCCCACGGCAGTCAGCCCCACCCATTCCGGCCGTCCCTGGGTTCGGTGGGTGGGAAGTCTTTTACTCTCTGCTTTCTGTTACAGACACTCTAGTCCGCTGGACAGCCTCGCCTCAAAACTGGAATACAGCAGGAAGGGGCGGTGCTGAAACTTCCAGTGGACTCGGTCCTATTGGTCTACAGCCATGTCAGTACCCAGGCATGACTGCCGTGGGCGCCAGTCAGAGAAGAGGCGTATCAGGTAAGACCAACGCCCATTCTCTTTTATTATTTTTAAAATTATGTTGCTGGAACAAAGTATTCCTTTAAGCTTATATTGTAGAACATATAATGCCTGCTTCTGTTTCTGTTGAAAACAACCAGAAGTGAGCAAGGTCTGTTATAACCTGAAAAGAGGTTGTTGTTTTTTTAAATCCAAAACCATGTTGAAGAGACATCACACATATAATACATAATTTAAACTGTTGTCCTCCCTACCCCATGCATAATATGGGGAACATATTGGTTAGTTTGTTGTTGGTTGTTTGAAAAATTATTTTTTATTATGATTATTTAGTTAATTTGATAAACTGATCCATATTAACATTTGGCAGTACTTCCTTAAAAAAGCTTCCGGTAGTTTAATCTGTTCTTTCCATCCTGGTGGTATTTCATATTAGAAATTAGCCATTTCTTGATTGGCAAAAAAATTGTACATAGGTGGAATAATTTTTTGAAAAAATACATATACCAATAGGCATAACAGTATTCTACTGGAGCGGGGGGCCAGCAGTCACGAATGGGTTAACTCTGTCATCTGTGCCGGACTGAGTCTGCAATTTGTGAAGCTTCTCCTCTTCCTCCTGCTTCCCAGATCTGTAGGCATAACAGTATTCTAAAAAAAATATTAATTAATTAATTAATTAACTGTATTAATTAATTTAAATAAGTTTACTTAGATAAAAGGTGAGTTCATTTCTCTAATATCTTTGATCTTCACAAATATTAAATTTGTAATCATAATTTTCCTCAAAAACATTTTAGTAATATATAGGTTCCTAGTTTTATCTTCACAGCTTTGTGCATTACATAAAAGATGGGTTTTTGCTGTAGTTTGAATATAATGCTATCATGAGAAAACTTCATTTGATAATGTATGATGATAAGCCAGAATGAATGGTTCCTACATTATGCAAAACAAAAAATAAGGCCTAGTTTATTATTTACAGAGTTATTAAACAGATTTATATGGCCACTCAACTCATACACATGTGACTCTGGGTGCTTATAACATTAAGATCCTTAACATAAAAATCATAAAACTGCACCCATCCTTGTAGTCTGTTTTACACCTATACTAAGTCATGTTGACTGACCTTAATTGATTGGGTTCATTTTATATGTTAAGTCAAATCAATATTTTTTTGGCTTAGCATATGTAAATATTTATATACGGTATATGTAAGATATAAACTGGTCAGCCTATGGTCAGCTTTGAGCTATTTAACTGATCACTGAATTTCTGCCTTCCTGTGTCTAGGCTTAAACTGTAACCTTTTCTAATACTGTACAGATAATCCTCCTTTAACAACTGCCCTGACCTTTTAAAATTATTATTGGGTATTGTTAGCATATTGATGACACTTTATCCTATAGCATGTGATGACTGTCCTAATACCTCAAAAGTATAATTACCAAGCTTTTCTTAAGCACAGATTATGAAACTATGTATGGATAAATTTATTTCCAAACCTTATCTTATAGAAACAGATCAGAAGTCTACCACGTTTAACAGTATCAAAAATACTCCACATTCTGGAGAAAGAGAAATTACATGAGGAGGTGCTCCAGCATGAGCCCGAAAGCTTGGAAGAGTAAACCTTTGGTCCTGGTGACCGACTCAGATTGGATCCTGCAACATTATCCTGGGACTCATATATTTGCCTTCATTTGTGAGTATCAAAAATTATGAGATGTCCTATGCCAGTGATGGTTAACCTTTTTGGTGCCGAGTGCCCAAAGCGTGCACATGCGTGTGTGCCTGAACCACCAAAATGCAATGCGAGCGCCTCCCTCATGCATGTGCCCCACCCCGTGCACGTGCCCCACCCTCACGTATATGCACATGTCCCCTGCGCATGCGCCCCAGCCCCCCACCCCCACCCCTTTTGGCTTCCAGGTTGGTGCAAGAGGCTTGCACCTGGAAAGCCTCCTGCACCAACCTGGAAGCCAAAACGAGGCATGGGGACACTGCGTGAGGTCCCCCTGAACCCCATTTTGGGCATGGAAAGCCTCCAGCACCAACCTGCACCTCCCCTGCATGCGTGGCAGAGACCCAAAGACCAGCTGGTCCACCATGTGCGTTGGAGCTGGGCTGGGGCAACTGCTGGCGTACCTGCAGAGAGGGCTCTGCGTGCCACCTGTGGCACCCGTGCCATAGGTTCGCCATCACGGCCCTATGCAAATAAGAAGCTATTAGTTATCTCCCCTGTATGACTCAGTCTATGGGAATGTTGGCAACCAACAATTACAAGCATTCACATTTTGAGGTCTTAAAGGATTTACAATCCCACATAATACTCTGGGCATCAATAGACAGTGGTCAAAAGCAATGTACAAAGTACAAAGACCATGAAGACATTTATTTTTGAAATGACATGGATTTTCACAGTATACTTTTTAAAATTCTACCATGGATTGATTTTGGCAAGCTGTGTGTGTATCTCACACATACACATAGTGCTTACATATACACATCCACATAATAGTGGTGAGGGAAAATATTTTAAGACTGTTTTCAGTGGGACTTGAACAACCCAAGTTGGCAAAGCAAGAAACTTGGCAGCATACAAGAATGTGTGTTTGTAATCTTTGGGGGTGGGTCATTTTACATTCAGCTGAAATTTCAAATCTGGCTTCTAAAACTGTGTACAAAAGAAAAGAAATGGAGAAGGATGTAAATTTGTTTTTAAACATTTTAGTTCTTATAACAACCAGATGGAATGGAAATAGTTCTGGTATTATGATAGAATCACTGTTACTAGGTGATGATTAAGAGAGACAAAGCCAGCTATCCCCCAATATCTCTGCTGTGACTTGATTAAGCTGATTTGAGACATGAGCATGGGTTAGCATATCATGTAAATGTAGGTATATGTGGTTTATTCAGAAAACCACGATTAAATAAATCGTTATATGTGTAGTTTTTTTCTTTTTTGAAAGAAATGTCAAAGTTAATGTACTCATTCATCAACTTAAGTAAGACTTGTACTTACTAATTCAATTTTTTAATGCTTGAATTGTTCCCATTTCTAGTTTTTGTTACATACTTAATTCTGCATCTGATTTTATTGCATAGTATGGATATTTGTACATTATCTTAGTTTTGTTTTTAAATTAGAGTTTGATTAAGTCTATCTGATAATCTATTTTAAGGATTTAATTATAGGATGGTGGAAATTGTACTTTCAATAAATTTTTTAAAAATAACAAATTTAACAATTTAATTTTAAACTAATTTTGATTTGTTTAACTAGATGAATTGTCTCACAAGTCATTGGAAGTTCATTCACTTTACATGGAAAGAGTTTCAGGTACAATCCATGGACTGTGGAAGACACCTGCCTGGAAATCTAGAGAATTGCTGTCCATTAGTAGTAAATTTTAAAAATGGACCAGTTATTAAGTTAATGTAAGATTGTTTCTTGGGTTCCTATGCAGTTAAAACGAGCATCAGTTTATTAGAAAAGGGAGGACAGTTATAGTTCTTTTTTGGGTTTCAGTTGCATATTTGTTCTTTTGTTGCTTTTTTGCAGTATTATGGTTTATTTTGCATTTTGCAGTACTGTGAGCCAAGAGCTTCCCTAGTGAAATCAGGAAGAATCTCGTATAAACTTGGCCCTTGATCCAGAATGCTAATAAAAGTTTGAATGATTAAATGTTGTGACTAGTCAAAGTTTTTAAAAAAATGAAACTTCTTGTATTAGAATGGAGCATTTTCCATAGCGATGCTCAGCAATTCATTGATGGGGTTCTCTTCTATTGGGTTAATAGAGACTGAGAGTGTAGTGTTTCTTTAAATTTGCTTGTCTGACCACGCCTCCTGGCTCCTTTGCTGCTCAGTTATTTCTCTCAGTCTGAGGTATAGAGACTTGAGTTGTTAGCTGTGCTCACTTATTGTGAGTCTTTTCTCCTTTTAGCTTAGTTAGTGTGTAGTTTTTTTGTAAATAGCTTGTAGATAGTGTATATAGATAGTTTAGACTTGTTTTTGTGAATAAGTGGAGGGAGCGAAAAGGAACGCAAGAGCCGAAGGAATTTTCTGTTGCTGCGGCTGCAGCCGGCTCTCCGCTGTGGGCATGGTTGAGTCGCTGGGGATCCAGCTTGACTTCCATGCCGTTTTTTAAAAAAAAATCTGTTTGCAGCGATCGGAGGCTTCTTTATTGCTAAGACCTCCGGACAGCCTGTGGAGGCTGTGTTATCGGCCGCAGGTGTGTGAGCGGGTTTTCTGGTCTGCTGGAATTCCCGCTGCCGCCATTTGCTCCCTCCCTAGCGTGGCGGCTACAGAGTACTTGCTCGGGGCCCCGAGTCACACTCTGCAACATTTAAAGTGGCTCCCAGCGCTTTAAGGGGTTGTTACTCCTTGCGCTTGGATCGCCAGACTCCAGAGAGGAAGATTTGACATCCGTGAGTAGAGTTGGATTGGAACAAAAATTTCTGGGCTTCGCACCATTTTGGGGAGGCCATTGAAGGAGCTGGCGGCCATTTGGGGATGGTGATTCCCGTGCTTTATTACAAAGCAAAATTTGGAACGAGGCTTTACTTACTTATTCTTATTTGACCTGATTACTTTGATTGGTGTAACTTAGTAATGTATTGAGAGTTATTTCTGAATCTTTGTCATTGCCTGTCAGTTTTGCAGGGCCTGACAAAGGATTGTGTACAGAATATCTGACCAAGAATTTTCTTCTGATGCAGAACAGGCGCCTCCTTCGCCTAGGCCTAAAAAGGCAACCAAAAAGACTTCTAAGTCTTCTTCTTCAAGATCCAAATCCAGTTCCAGCAAATCTCACTCTGCTTCTTCCTCTTCTGATAAGGATGAACAGAGAAGGCATAAAGCCTTGGAGAAGCAATTCTCAAAAGCTCAAAAGAAAGCTCAAAAGGGGGTGGAGGCTCTACTTCCTGTCAGGGAGATGGATTCTGAGTGCCACCATTCTGCAGAAGCTCGAGATTCTCAAGCTCCTCCCCAAGCTTCTCCAGATTCCATTCCTTGTGCTCAGGAGGATTTTCAGGATTCTTCCCAAGGGGCTTCTGACCCTGTTAGACTGGGACCTTCTGCATCCTTTACCCCTACAGCTGCAGGTCTCCGCCCACAGGAAGGGCTAGGTTGGCTTCCCCATTTGGATTTTCAAACCCTTTTTACAGATGCCTTAGCCAAAGCTATCGCCTCGGGTTGGCATCATGGATCTCAGGGTACAGGCCCTCAGGCTGGGCAATCGCTTGCTGCCCCTCCTCCCATCCCTGCATCTGTAACCCAGGTTCAGACAGAAGTAGTTAGTGATGATGACTCAGTAACAGGAGATGCAGAGCAAGGGGATCCTGAGTTCTCAGGAGATGAGGAGTTGGGTCCAGATAGGCCAGCCTTTTCCACTTTATTCAGGCCGGAGGTCTTCAAGACCCTGCTTAGAAAAGCTAAGGTAGCAACAAACATCGGCAGGATTGTAAAACCAGCTGACCAAGGGTCAGGTAACGCCCAACCTTGTCTATTTTTCCCATTTCTGTCTCTCCATACATCTTTCAAATTTGTTTCCTCTATCATTTTAAAAAAAGAGTTCAGTAATGTCTTTCTATTATGTCTTACAGTTTTTGGTGTTTTATAATCCAATTTTTCATCTACTATTCCATTAAAATCACCCATCATGCATATATTGTCATACTCCATTTAAATTATTTTCATATGCAATTTTCGATAAAAGTCACTTTGATTATTGTTTGGCGCATATATTGCTATTAGAAGTATTTTCATATTACTATCAATTATTTCCACCATCAAAATTCTACCTTCTGAATCTGCGTATATTTGTTCCGCCACTATTGAATTTCTAATGTATAGAACAACTCCTCTCTTTTTTGCGACAATGATAATATATTAAAGAGATGTTGAGGTGGCAAAGGCCTAATATGAATCTACATCTATCATCCTTTTTAGGGACTGTAAAAGCAGAAACATTATCCCCTGGAGGAATTTTCTTAAATCACCACCCTTTTCTGTAAAATGAGAGAAAATTTCTATTCTGATACAATAGTGAAGATGCCTTGATAGATAATCTAAAACTCTATATGTGATACTGATAGATAATCTAAAACTCTTTATGTGAAAAATCACAATATGAGATATAGTATATAAATCTTTCAGGTTTTATATGTTGTATGCAACTTAGCCTGTGAAGATTGAAACCAGGATTTATGGTTTTGGCTGCTGTAATGAAACCGCCAATTGTGGTTTATTTAAACCATCATAAAATGTGTGCCTAAAGTTAGATGTCAAGACAAGAGGAAGAGAGAAATGCTACTGTCAATGGGCTCAGTTCCTGCCTATTGGCTGTAGTTGGTTAAGTAATTATCTTGCTCTGTCTTGTATGTGATGCAGAACAGAACTGAGCATTTTGAGACCTTTAGTTTTAAAACTTTAAAGCTAATTATTAAAAATGTTACTTAAGGTATTTTATTTTGTACCCGACAGGATTTAAATGTCTTTGATTTCCCATTCTTGTGTTCTGCTGTGATAAAGATTTACAATATGTACTTCAAGTGTAAGTATGTTATCCACAAATATTACTGTTGCCAATTCCACTTATGTTATTGGTGTATCTGGGATGTATTTATAAGGGAATTGGTGTATCTAGTCTTCCAAAATGTAATGGGATTTTGGCCAAATTTGTATTCTTCAGCCAGCAGATTTTCATAATAGAATTTTGACTTCAATCTCATGATAATTATAAAGTATCTGTTTATTTACTAGACTGGAATTAAGTTTACATTCTCCAACTTTTGATTCTATGCCATCTTATGATTTTTTTGTACTTGTTCTGTGCTGCAGAGCCAAGTAGTTAGGCACAATGCTTTCTTTAACTTAATAAGCTTGAATAAGAAATTGGCTGGTTTTGTATTTAGTATTCCCATCCTTTATTGGAACAAAATCAACTTGTTTTCCATTTGTTTTATGCCCTACCATTCTCATTTAGAGTTACAGAGAAATATTTTTCCTCTTGAATAAAAGAAATAGCTTCAAGATTAAACCCCATTCTCTTGAAAAAAGCCTTTTTGATATTAAACAGTGTATCATTTTAATATGAAAAAGGGGGGTGGGGAAGAGATACACTGTAGATTATTCATTCAGCCCAGAATGAACTAAATGGGAATTTTTGAATGGGAATAAAAGTTACATCTAACGAATCTTTGTGATTAATACTGATTTGTCACCTGGAAACATGAGTAGTCCCTGAGATAGAAAAGATCAGTTGATGACCATTCGAAGTTATGATAGACCCCTTCCCAAAACCATATATGTTCCTGTTTCAAAATTACAACAGCTGCAGTGCTCCCAAAGTCATTTGTTCTTATGACTGACCACAGGAACATGCAGTGCCCCCCTGCCTCTCTTCTCCATTCCCACCCTGGCAGCATTTTGCCATGCTTAGTCCTGCTCCCGATGCCTCCTGGAAACAGCCGCCACTTGCAGCATTCCAACAACTCCTTGTGGAAATGGCAAATGCTTTCTGAGCTTTCTGCCCAGTGGTGAAATGTAAATTTTGTTACTACCGATTCTGTGGGCATGGCTTGGTGGGGGGGGAGGGGTAATATGACTGAGTGGGCGTGGCCATTTATTTATTTATTTTTAACTTTTAAAAGCATTTTTCTACAACCTCTTTGGCTGAAGAGGTTGTTTAAAAAATGCTTTTAAAGCCTCTGACAGTCGCAGCTGACTTACCTGATCGGCAGAGGCTTTTTCTTTTTTTTTTAAGCCTCTGACGATCCTAACTGACCTGCCTAATCAGCAGAGACTTTGTTTTTACTTTTAAAAGCATTTTTTCTATAACCTCTTCAGCCGAAGAAGTTGTAGAAAAAATGCTTTCAAAAATTAAAAAAAAGCCTCTGATGATTGCACGGCTCAGCTGGGCAATGGGGGGGGGCAGGGATTTTTGCTACCGGTTTTCTGAACCACCTGCCTCTATCGCTACCAGATCAGACGATCTGGTCCGAACCGGGAGCATTTCACTCCTGTTTCTGCCCCTACAAGGAGAGAAGCATCCTGGAATTGAGAAGAAATTTCCTAACAGGGAGGACCGCCTTCAGGCATTGTGGGTGCTTCATCGCTGGAGGTTTTTAAGAAGAAACTGGACAGTCACTTGTCTGAAATGGTATAGGATCTCCTGCTTGAGCAGGGCATTGGACTAAGAGACCTCCAAGGTCCCTTCCAGCTCTATTCTGATTCAACTGGCTGTTGAGAGACTGCAGATCTCTTCTGGCTCTTGCTAGGCTTTGGGAAGACAGCCACCCTCATACAAAAGTGGCAGCTTCAGGGCGAGCTTCCCAAAACTTTTCTCTTGCTTACCCCCTTTCTCCCCAGCGTCCCACATTTCTTCAATAAAAAAACAAAGCTGGGCAGGACAGAATTATCCCTCCCCCTAGTACCTAAAACAAATTAGGTACTAAAACTAAACTCTCCACCTCTGCCCCTCCAATCTCAATCCCTTTTAACCACTTAAATTGCTAAATTTACTGCATGCCTGGGAAGAGGGTGACAAAAACTGTAAATTACTTATCTTAATGAGTCACTATCAGGCTGAAGCTAAAGGAAAGGAAGGAAATAAGCAAATCTTTCTGCAGTTTTTTGCCTCTAAGAGCTGAAGGGGAAAAAAATCAGTTCTAAAGAAAAAGTGGCTACAGCACATGGCCATGGTAGAAGCTGGGTCCTAAGGGCAGTCAGACAGCAAAAACCTAGAAAACCTGAAACGTATGTCCAAAAGTTGGCATCAGGGAGAGCAGGGGGTAAAGGTTGTTAAGGAAGTTGTCTCACTTAACATTTGTCACTACTTGAAATAGTAATGGGCAGGCTCCATTACAGTCATAGGTCGAGGACCACCTGTATGACTATTCCTGTAGTAATTATACACTGTAAAGTTTAACAAACAGCAACACTGTTGTAAACCATCATTCTAAATCCCTAAGTTTGATCTTATTTCTGTTCCTTTTCTCCCAGACTAGATCCTGGCTTGACTCGACAAAAAGCATTATAAGATTATTTCGTTCAGCAAACATCCTCAGATGAGACATGCCAGATCAGTCCCTCTGTGTCTAAGATGAATAAGGTCTGTAATATGCCCACGAGGCCATCCTTCTCTTCTGGCAAAAAGGTATGACCACAGATATGGGAATTAATATTTTAATATTAATTAAGACCACACCTAGAATACTGCATCCAGTTTTGATCACTACATTATAAAAAAGAAGTTGAGGCTTGAGTGCAGAGAATAGCAACAAAAATGACTGGGGGCCTGGAGGCTAAAACATATAAAGAATGGTTGCAAGAACTAAGAATGGCTAGTCCAGTAAAGAGAAGGACCGGGGCTTCTCATGATAGCAGTGTTTCAATATTTGAGGGATTGTCTCAAAGGAGGGGGAAACTGATCAAAGAGAACTTCAACCTAGAAATGAGAAATTTTCTGCCAGTGAGATCAATTAGCCAGTGGAACAGCTTGCTTTCAGAAGTTGTGGTGCTTCATCATTGGGGCTTTCAGGAAGAGACTGGGCAGCCACTTGTCAAAAATGATATAAGATCATCTGCTTGTGCAGGGGGTTGGACTAGATGACGTACAACCTTCCAACTCTTGTTATTCTGTATTCTTACCATGCCTTCTTTGATGTAAGATTCATTGAGTTCAACAGTATTTCGCTAATAAACTGCATAAGATCACTATGTAAGTATTGAAACTCAGATAACACCTATATTTGGTCAGACTTGAACAAACATTAGAGGTAGAAACAGCTGTTTGTGTTATTGAGCTATTGATGAATTTAGGAATTTAAGCATCAATATAAAAATTTAAGTGGGCAACTTTATTAAAACCAATCCTATAAAAAGATGCAAACACATTCCAAGGGAAAGCTACATTAACCCAAAACAACGCAAACAGTCAAATCACAAATGTCTTCTAATATGAAAGTACTAATCAGCAAAAAGAAAAAGGTGAAAAGGGTGAACAGATGCAATGAAGTAGTAAACATGGTGAATTAATAGCACATTCATTGAAAGAAAGTAAGCTCTTTGTAGTCATGTCTTTAATTAGTTATCTCAGCAGGTGTTTTCAAGGTTGGAAGCTATTCATAACAGAATTATTGTGAATTTCCTATTGTTGTTCATTTAACAAGCATAGTCAAGGGAATTTAATAATAGAATAACAATCCAAGTAAAAAAAAGCTATTATAAATGTTTAGGAAGGAAGTAGAGACACTTTATAATGGGGGTACTGGAAAAAGTAACAGTAATATCCCCAGGAGAAAATATGATCTGAAAATTAAATACGAAGTTATTGTATGTAACCCTAGGGTATAGCAGCTGTTATAGTGTATCCTACTCATATGATAAAGTAATGTTAATACCAAATAATACATATACTGACTGCTGAAAATTGGAATCTGGTTAAGCAGATAGATCACATTTGTCAAACTCACAGCGTCACATTGCCGTCACATAACATTTCACATTTTTCACCTTCATGGAGCTGGGGTGGGCGTGCCCTGTGCATGACACCGCCAGTTTGACATCCTGATCTAGATCACAGGTGTCAAACTTGATCGCGTCACATGATGTATTATGATGTATCGTGACATTTTTTGCCTTTGTGGAGCTGGGGTGGGCGTGGCCTGTGTGTGACGCATCTGGCTCACAGGCCACCAGTTTGACAGGCCTGATCTAGATATTTAAGGAAGAAAAACCAGTTGCCTTTTGAAAAAGCACCTTTGGGATGTTTAAGCATTTAATACCTCCAAAATCACACTGCTAACTGTAGAACCAAGGTCTATATCGGTTTTTCAGAGATGGAAACTTCTCTGAGCCTTCTCCATAAGATTAAGTCAATATATATTACATATCAAACAAAGATTTCATTTTCTGCAAGACCTAAACAATTATATACTGTTTCAGTTTCTCCTAAGGCATTAACATTCTCATCTTCAACTGTCCCTAAGGTTGTTCCTTCTTCAAAAATATTCTGTTGTTGCCCCACATGCTGGCCAATTGGTTTCACAAAAGAAAGAGGTATTTAAACAAAAAATCAATTTCATTTGCTTACATATGGAACAAATAATCATACTTTGCAATACAAAACCTATAGAATATGGAAAGCCTGCTGTGTCTGTTGGTGTCTTTCTATCCAGTGTGAGTTCAATGAAAATGTTATTTTGAAGTAACTAAAATAGTAGAGGAATTTTTTAAATTTAAACAGTTTTATCTACATACACAACACAGAAGGGGGGAAACAAGTGATCAGTCATCCATTGTGAGATTGCAACATAAGCTCTACCCTTTGTATGTGATGCTGCAACAAAACTATAAAAAGATAGAACATGTGTTGTAACAATATCTGTTTTGTAATTTTTCTCATCATTATGCTTAGGACCAGATAAACTATAAGTAGACTATATATTTGATATCAAAATCTATATTACTACTTGTCCCGATAATTATCATTATATAACTATATACAGTATGTTTAGACAGCCTCATATTTGGTCTGCAAAGTGCAATCTGTACAGCAAAAGCATTATCTGGGATATCAAATTAAGGCTTCTACAAATTACTGTATGGTCAGAAGGAATTCAAGGTGAGCCTTTATAGAGTTATAGTTTGTGGATAATAAGCCACATTCATAAGTCTATTGGTGTCTGAAAATGTATATAGTATGTATAACAGTGACACTGTAGTAAGTCATACAATTATGTAAAATGCATCCTAGGTTTTTTGTTTTGCAGGTGTAAAATAGCTGTTTTCAAACATTGTAAGAAAAAAATGTAATAGCATTTATTTTCACATGTGGGGTTTCCACAATATTAAATTTAAGTTGGTAAGATTGAATCTATTTAAACATATAACAAACCAAGACTTTGTATGTTGGCTAAAATTTCAAATGCTTACTTGTGTAATAAAAATGAACAAATCACTTTCCACAAAAAGAAAAAAGGATATATAACCTTAAAATCAAAATTTAAAACACCAGTCTATAAAAAAACATAATGTGTTGAAACATATGATTAAAAGATAGCATTTTATAATAATGTCTTGTAATGAAAATATGAAGATCTGTCAAAGAAAATATGCTATGTAAGGGGAAGTACTGATAGGGTTGCTTTTTTAAGCCACTGTGTTTGCCATTTTGCCATTGCAAAAATTCAGAGAAATCCTAGATGGCAGTAAAGGGAGTTTTATATCTCTTTATCTCTTTTAATTTAGTGATTATTTTACGTCTATATCCATGTAGTCCTAATATAAAGAAATTTTCCCAGACTTTAGTGTTTCTTGGATTTAGTTAGTCTCAGGATTCCAAGGAGGTCAGACAGTCTTTAACACCTGACTTGTGAGTCTGGAGGTAGTATTAGCACGTATGGCTGCTGCCAAAAAAATCTTTTTTGAGTATGACACAAATAGGACTGGTTGGGGGTAGAAAAGCCAATCATGACTCATACCAAATACCTCCTTTGATCTTAGTATAAACTTATAATTATGGAGAAAATCTCAGTCTAGGTTATATAATTCTTGATACTATTTATGCATGCATATGTTCTAATATTTTGTGAAACTACATTTTGGTAATTTTCTTGAATCAATTAAAAACACCACTGACAACAATATATAATTGATTTTGAGTTGTCTTCTTCCAGATTTTTTTTCCAATTTTCATACATCTAGGAGATTTCTTGGTGACTCACATGCAAGGACTAACTAGATCTGACCCTCTTAGCTTTTTTGAGATCAGAGAAAGTCTGCCAGATACTGCCACCTGCTGTTAGCTGTTCTCAATAATTATTGTCAAATTGGGTCCCATCATGTCACCACTCAGAACTTGATTGATGTCTTCACCAATCAAAAAACAAAAGGACGTTCATATATTCACAGCCACAGTTGTTATATTTATTATTTAAACTAAGATTTAAGAATTAAAGTTGATTTACCACACATTCCATCTAAACTCTATGTCCTACTGTGTTATGCAACCCAGTTGTTGAGAATCATTTCTTGAAGTCATAAAGTATGTGTCCATACAATTAAACTAAGACTTTGAGAGAAGAATGTCTTTTCCAACTCTTTCATGAACTACCAGATACCCAGACAACAGGAACAATTTGGATGGATAAATCTTCATATTAAGTGTACAAACAGATCCCAAGGACAGTGAGTTCTACTGGTAAAATGAACAAAAACATATAAGCAAATGTCCGATATGTACATACATACTATATATCTGGCTGGTAATTATAGTTTAAACAGAACCTGGAAGCCAGAAATATAAGGAGATTCATTCTCATTGGCATCTTTCAGTCTCAAGAGACTATGGTATCGTGCTCTGGAAAGATGTCCTAAAACAGCATCTAGTGACTAAAAAGGCCAATTCGAGAGTGGCAATCCCTTCCATACTTGAGGGCAGATACATTTTGTCCCCTACCCAGCCCCCAGATTTCGCTGGTTCCAGGATTGCCTCTGCTTCAGCCTCCGAACAAGTGTCTCTTCGAATTGGAGAAGGCCATGCTGCGTCTTTAGCCTCCAAGCTAAATGATCAGAAGTCAAGGTTTCCCAGTTGTTAATGTCCATTCCCAGGGCCTTTAGGTCCTTCTTGCAGATACCCTTATATTACAGCTGTGGTCTCCCTCTGAGGTGCTTTCCCTGCACTAATTCTCCATACAGGAGATCTTTCGGAATCTGACCATCAGCCATTCTCACAACATGCCCCAGCCAGCGTAGACGTCGCTGTTTCAATAGTGTATACATGCTAGAAATTCTAGCACGTTCCAAGACTGCGCTATTTGGAACTTTGTCCTGCCAGGTGATGCCAAGAATTTGTCAGAGACAGCGCATATGAAAGGTGTTCAACTTTCTCTCCTGCCGTGCGTAGAGGGTCCAAGACTCACTGCAGTAGAAGAGTGTGCTCAGGACACAGGCTCTATAGACCTGGATCTTTGTATGTTCTGTCAGCTTCATATTAAGCCATACTCTCTTTGTAAGTCTGGAAAATGTGGTGGCTGCTTTACCAATATGTTTATTCAGCTCAGTATCTAAAGAGAGAGTGTAAGGAGATTAAACAAGGGGAAATAAAAGAAGCTCAAAGACACCAATCAATTTTCCAGGTGTTCAAAGCAGATCAAATGCAGTGCTTATGCAGGCTAGTGCAGGCAAAACACTAATTTAGGAAGCAGAAAAGAAAAAAAAATTAAATGGTTTGCATAAAATCGGAGACTGCCACTTTGTTAATCCTTATATTGGCTTCACATTCATAAACTGCAGTTGCTCTAGTATCTATGGGGCAAATATAGTTAAACCTCGATTTTGTTTTTATGAACTTGTAATAAAAAGTGGCTTGTTTGTAATTAAAGTTATGAATTGGTCTATTTTGTACAATGTTTGTACTTAACGGTGGTTGATCAAAACATCAACAAGAGCTGCTATTAACCCAACTGAAACTTACAAAAACGTATAAAGAAAACTTTTCTGTAAGATGGATATTATATTACATAAAAACATTCCCCAAATATAGGAAACAGGAGGCATGTTAACAAGCCGAAATGTGTGCTTTCAGAAGTACATTCAACATAATTAAGAACTTACGTCATAACTGTGAAACCATATGTATAATAGGAGAGATCAGTATTGATGAAGAAACTACATGTCACTAGTTTGCATTTGGTTCCCCAAATGTGGTTTGG